TGATTCTAGAGGTTGATATACTTGGTTCGGCATCCAGCTTCTCGTAGTCCGCTCGTAGACTAGTACGCTTTCCTTGACTTGGCTGTATGTGGTTTTATCCGTAAGTTGAAGATGGATGTGTTCCTTCAAAGGACTAGGAATACATCTCAAGAGAGTCGATAGGAGAATCTCTCGAGGGTAGCTCACTCCACTACATCTCTCATAGTCTTTGACTAGTTCTTCCAGCTTCGAAATTTGTGCAACAGCACTTAGTCCGGGTGAAAAGTTTGGGTATCCATGAATCGCTTGCATCAAAGCTAAACTCCGACTTCTCGTACTCGGCTGATACATCCTCAGCAATGACTTCCACAAAGTAAATCCATTCCGGGATCCAGCGATACTGGGATCTCGCGCGTGCTGCTTCGTGGTTCCTGACAACCAAGAATTCAATAACGAGTACAGCTTCGTTGACATAGTCTGATACGTTTCATCCGAGAAAGTAGCTGGTAGTACTTCATGGTCTCCCAACTTTTCCAAGTTCTTAAAGGCATCCGAATATTTGGGTTCCGCATACGCAAGAATATTATAAAGTTGTTCCTTGAAGTCCATGAAATCTTGTGCATCGGTTTTACCTCCACCAAATGATGGTGGTCTCCCCAACATCTTCACTGCACCTTCCAATGCCTTAGAGAGTATTCCTTCATACGAGCTTCCTGCATTTCCTTGGTTTCCAGAATAGGTAACTAGCTGGTGAATAGCTTCTGTAGTCACTCTGGAGTTCTGAACCAATTGTCCAAGTATCTCTTGAGTAGGTACCATGCCTAATCCATCTCCATCTGCTCCATCTTGTACTGGTACTCCGGCGGCTGATGGCGGTTGTGCGGCTTGAGGTCCTTGCATAGCTTCCGTCCTGACAAGCAAACAAACAAGTACCATTGCTCTGAGTTTCCGCTTGCATCCGCTCACTTTACGTCTCCAACGAATACCGTGCATCCGATTCACTTTCCTTCGCATACAAGTGCATGTCACTCGTTTTTGCATTCTTCCTGCAAGAAGAGTTGATCTGAATACGCAGCTCCAGATGAGCTGAAGTGCTAACAGTACAAGCACAGCGTTTGCTGTACGCAACTTCGTACACTGGGCAGCGAGTTGCTCAAGCGCCTCACAGATCATTCTTGTAGATCTGCTCTGCTGGCTCACTTCTTCCAGCTTCTTCCTGCTGCTTTGCTTTAGCGGTCTTACGGCGTTTTGGTTCGTCGATTTCCGACGACTCCGAATTATCCACAGGGGATTCGCTTTCGCTGGCCTCATCTGACATCTTACTGTCGCTACCTGCTTCGTCCTGCATGTTGTCCTTGACAGGCGTCTCTTCCGACACTGCGGGTGCTTCCGATACTGTCGGTTCTTCTGGAACGGCTTCCTTTGGAACTTCTGGATCTTTTCCTGCATCCGCTTCCGGGGTATCCAAGATTTTCTTTGCTTCACGCGACTCCAACGTTCTGCGTAGCTTGGCCTTGTGGTGCTCTTCGTACTTCTGCCGAAGCTCCTCTCGGGTCGGTGCTTCCGGACTAGGCTCGACCAAATCCACCACATTCTTTTCATCCTCTTTGGCTGTCCAGATACTGGGCTTTTCTGGCTCGGCCTTCTTCTTTGCTGTAGCAGCTTGGCTGGCCTCCTTCTTCCGGTTGGCTTGCTCTTCTCTATACAGAACTGGAAAACCTCCTTCATCCTTTGCCTGCTTCCAGAATCGCTTGTTACTCTCCGCGACTTCCCTGGACATACTCCCAAAGTCGCAAAGTGCGAGCATTGGGAAAAATCTTTTGTACGGATTCGTAGTGTCTCCTTGGAATCCGGGGCGAGTGATTCCTCGCATCGGGTACAGTCGTCTTGTCTTGTTCCCGCGATCCAATATTGTGAGCATGGGCTCGTACAGGCAAAAGCATAGCTGGCTAAACTTGCATGCCTTCTTCCAGTGTCCACCATGCCAACATAGCGAGCACAAACTTTTTCCTGGAGGTAGGCTTCCATACACAGTACGCTTCCGGGTGGTCTCTGTTGGTTCGATGTCCAAACGGCCTTTTCCCGCAGGATGCATACTCCATACTTCAGTGAAGCGTCCGGCACCCTTACTCTCCCGTCGAGACGGGATGAGTCGTACGCTGTAGGGTTCCAACTGAGCTTGGATTGTTTCAAAGTCTTCATACGAAGTGATCTGCCAAGGGAACTCCCAGAGGGGCTGATACTCTCCGTCCTTCTCTCCAATCCCGCGCATAGCCAATCCAGAGAGAATTTGTACCAACTCCTTTGTCCAAGTTGGACTGAAAGGTTTTGACCCAGGTAAATACTCTTCTCCGCTTCGTAGAGGGCGATTCTCGTGCCAATCTTCTTCGTAGATTCTTTCTGTCCATTCCCATCCTGGGGTTTCCTCAGGCGGTTGCTTCTTACCTTTTCCAGACCTTCTTTTATCTGGAAGCTTCTTCTCTTTATCCTCTCCAGCCTGAGCATCCGTTCCAAACTTGGGCATTCTCTTTGGCTGCGGCATCGCTTTAACAGCGGGTTCAGCTGGTTCCGGTGCTTGAGTAGTTCCATCGTGGATGGATTGCAAGATCTGAAGTAGACTCTTTTCCTCTCCGTAGCGTACTGCGATGTTGATGGCTTGTCCCATGGCACTTTGCAGTTTCTCCGATGCCACAAGGAATCCGCTTTGAGCCTTTTCCAGATTCCTGCAAGCTTGGAGCCAATCCTCTTCGGTCTTACGGGAGTTTGCCACTTGCTCGTCTTTCCGGGCTCGTAGCTTGTCCACGACTTCACGGGCTTTGTTGCGGTACCATTCTTCCGCCGAGTCCAGTGCTGCTTCGGGTACCTTGAGCTTTGCTTGTTGCTTGTTAGCTTCCTGAAGTGCTCTAGCCATACGCTCCGATTCTTCCACTGCACGAAGGCGTTTGGTTTCTTCCTCCAGTGCTCGTTGCTTTTCCTTCGTCTCAGCTTCCAAGATCCGCTTTTGCTCTTCCAGATCGGCCAGCTTTCTCTTCCGAGACTCTGCCTCAGCTTTCTTATCCTCTTCTTCCTTGAGAGCTTCGAGTCGTTCTGTCTCTTGATCCTTTCCTGCCACTTCCATAGCTTCATCCAGCTTACGTCGAACACCTTGAGGACTGGTAGCTTCTTCTTCCTGTTTCTTCCTAGCCTTCTCGGCCTTACGGCTTTGCTTGGCTTCTTTCCTAGCAGTCTTCTTCTCTTTCTTCTTTTCTTCTCGCGACTTTCCTCCAGTTGTCCCTGGAGTCTTTGCTGGAGTACTTTCAGCTTTCCTTCCTGGCGTCTGCAGGAGGTTAGCTTGCTCCACCAAGGTAGCTCGCCTTTCTTCTGCACTCTGCCGCATTTCTCCCAACTCTGTAGTCCGGTCCACCATGACATCTTCATGTACAGGCCTTGCCACTCTAGGCAACGGTTCATGTTCCGTGACTCGAGACACTTTCTGGTGGGGTTCATCCTGGAAGATCTCACTGTCGTTGAGTTCCATAGTTCCTGCCGCTGGGACGAGAGATACTTCTTCCGCTCGTTCTCCCATCCTTGGGGATACAGTTGATCCCATACACAATCCGAAATTTCCTCTTCGAGGGTAAACGGCTGCGGTCGAATAACAAGGTGAGACATGTTCATCCACAAGCAACTTGTTTCCTGAATACTTCCTTGGCTCAGCGTGATACTCATACAGAATCCAAACACAAATAGCAAGAGGTCCTGGTACATCTTCTCCATGATCACCTTCATGGCGAATTCCAAGATTTACTGTCCAGTTTCCAGGTATCCTCGTGTACTTCCTCCGGTTCCAATCCGGTTTCCTTCGGCCCACAGGTTTCCTGGATCTTCAGGCTTCCTTGCTCCGCTACCAAGTTAAACTGTAAAACCCTGAGCGGTCACGCTTTTACTCTTGAACCAAAGGCGCTGCGTCGGTCACATAGTATGCAGCTATACAATACTATACCGTAGCCTGGGCTCACCAAAGGTGTGGGGCGTTCCTATGTACAGAATTCAACAGCCTCTTTGTCTGTGCTCAGCTTCCCCATTCTGGCTTCCATTTCCATCAACAATGCGCCCATCAGGGCTTGACGGAGGCCGCAGTCGCACGTGCCCTGTGCTCGGCTTTTCTTCCATGTGTGGGTTGTCTTGAGCAGTTGTTGAGTGATCCCCAGGTCCCCTGCGTCCATGAACATGATCCAGGAGTGATCTGCCTCCAGAAGCTGCAGGGCTGTCTCGTGTCGAGCCATGATCTTTGCAAGAGCCAGGATTTGCGCATTCGGGGGCAGTCTGGCTGAAGGGGCCGCTTTCGGCTCCCTGTCGCGGGCTCTTTTGTGATCGAGTCTTCCCGCCCCTTTGCCGTTCAGTCTCTGCGCTTTGGCTCTGGGTGTGGTGATCAGTTCCTCGTCCTCGAAGATGTCCTCGTCCATCATTGGGGAGTTGGCCCCCCACAGGGAGGCTATCTGTGCTAGGGCCTGGTTGTCTGCCATGGCTCTGCAAGACTCGGAGCTGAAGGAGAGGGAGGCACCTACCTGCATGAACCTTCGGCGTTTTGGTAAATGTGTCCCTGCAAAACTTGCATGGCCTGGAGAGTACTGTGGCTTTCATCCCTTCTGCAACGCGATCTTGTAGCTGAGGGGCGCACCATATGTCCTGATGGGTCTTGGCCATGTGCCTTCTCCAGTCCTGTTGATTAGTGACGGGGGTGGCACAAGATCCACAATGTCTCTCAAGGAATTGCAGCAGCGGCCTGTCGGCTTCCCCAGCGGGGGCCGTAGTGTCCTGGAGCAAGTCGCGTACTTTTATTCATCGTGAGGAACCGCTTGCCCAACGTGACCAATGAGAAGTTCATAAAAGAATCCAAATCACTTAGGTCATAAAAGATATCTTCATCTTGCAAAATTCGAGCAGCATATAAGAGCACAATCTCAATATATAAAAATTGCAAGACGGAAGCGCGCTCTCTCTTTTTATTCGCAAGTGGGGAAAGGTCCAGTGGCTGCAAGTCACCCCACTCGGCCAACACTGGACAACACATCCCACTGCAAGGACGCAGCTTCCACGATGATTGAAGGATCAATGCCATCAAAGCAGAGCCGACTTGGTGCATCGGCAGGGTTGCTCAATGAAGGCACTCGAGAATACCAGCACCTGAGTTGCAGCGATTCTTCAAGTAATCGCACACTCTCGGTGACCAATTCTGCGACTGGCGTAGATGCACAAGCACGGATCAACGCTGCTTTCGCCGCTTCGTTGTCCACGTACACAACAAGTTGGCCACACCTGAAGACCTTCTGCCAAACCCTAAAAGCTAACAGAACCGGCATAAGCTCAAGCTCATAAATAGGGTTGCGAGAGTACTCAAGTGCACGATGCATGAAGGCATCGGGAGCGCGAGCACCAAAGGCACCACGAGCAACTCCTGACTGGTCGTAGAAGATTGCTCCGACACTGCCTTTTCCATTCTCAAAAGCTCCGTCCGTAAAGAGATACCAAGTCTTGCTGAACTTTGGGCCAATCTCAAGGGGGCGAGCGGACAACAGGCGGCTGCGAAGAACACCAAGAGATGTCTTGGCATCTCCTGTCAAACCTTGCTTCAAGAGACCTACCCGTGCCTGGCGATCCAAATTCCTGACCGCCTGAGTCGGCCCTCTCCCAAAAGCATGGCCTTCAAAGAAGTTCATGCGACCTCGTAACCTTTCAGCCTCCTTCGCGCTGAGTCTGTCTTCTTCAAGGATTCCATCCAAAGAGCGCATTAGCTCAGCGATGCGTTTGTCTGTGTGGCCAATCTTAACCAGACGACTTTCGAACTGACTAAGATCAACCACTAAACCTAGCATCTGGAACACCCCAGAAAACTCAGGCGCCTTCTTCCCTTCCTTGGCGTAGTCAAGGCCTAAAAGGTTGAACAGGGATTGCACAGCGAAGGCAGTATTCTGCTTCAGGCCCTCCTTCGAGACTACGCTGTAGTCGTCAAAGAAAGCCGTCCAGATTACCCTAAGTGCAAGCACCCCCAACAAAACCGACATACTTATTCTCAAGAAAGCGGCAACTGAGCCTATTGCACCGAACGGGAGTGCGTTCAGGCCCACCGACGACGGCTCGGCTTGGCCTGGACGGTTGACGAACATTCTCAAGATGTCACGGTCTGCACATGATACAGGGAATTGTTTGTATGCAGACTTGAGATCATACGTTCGGCCGCAAAGCGGAGCGCCTCCCTCCGTCGAGATGTCAATTGCGTAAGACAGCGTGGCAGCCATCCTATCAATCGCCTGGACAACGAACTTTTCAACCGTCCCCACTGTTGCATTGAGGCCGCAACAACTACAGTCATCAATCACGCGCGTTTTGTCCCCTTGCACTATGCCAAACCTGCGGGCGTAAACCTTAAAATCCTCCTCAAACTTAGGCGCTTCCCAAATCCAACCACTCTGAAGTTCGTCCAACGTAGCCTGCCAAGTGGCATGCTCGAGCAAAGGCTCTTGTCGCACCGCCATTTTTTCAAGCACGGCTTTGTTCAGACTACCTGACAGAAGTTTCAACGTTTCAAGGGAAAACTCGGGTCGCTTAATCTGCGTGGGGAAAGCCTGGCTTGCAGGCAGCCAGCCACTTAAAGAAAAACCCTTTTGCATATCCTCGATGAGGCTGGTATCCGGGAGACCATACGCAAGAATCAGTTCCTGCCACAAGAGGAGCCGTTTGCCTTTCAAGGTCTGACGGATGTGAGGAGGAAGCGCTGCGTGAAGTGCATCCTCACGGCCTTGAAGTTCCTTCGCTCGCGCAGACCAGCGAGCTATGAATTTTAAACGGTGCTTAGCCAAAGAAAATTCATCACCTAGAAGGTTCTCTTTGACCACGGATTTCAAGGCCGGTTCGAGACTGTCAACGAAGTCTCTTGGGTGTCCAGCACGTACAGCCCTTTGCACAAACTTATCCGGAGCAAGGGGGATGCCAAACCTGAAAACCTCCACCCTGGTTCCAGGTTGCGGGTCGGAAACCCTACAGTGCAAGCCTACAGCAGCTACTCGTTTCTCGGCCTGCACATCGCCCCAAGTGGACAAATGCCGAGAAATAAAATGCCCTTTTGGCGGCGCCACTGCAGTTGGTTCCGAGTTTTGAACATAATCGATGACATGAACGTAGTAACCAAACTCGGGCAGCACACCCGGTGACCGCGTAGGCTGGAGGCCAAGGGGAACACGAGCAACAGGCGGCGTGTGAATTTGCTGCTCACTCAAAGATGTAGCTTCAGAGGCGCCCTCTTTGACAACAGAATCCCTCAGCAAGCCAGCTACACGCTGGCAAAAGAGACTGGGATACACGCTGATGGCTTGACTAAAACGCCCGTCCTTGGAGACAGGCTTCCAGGACGTATGCACATGGTGCTCGGACTCACCTGGGCATGTAAGTTGCAAGGCATCAAGGAAGTGCGAAGAAGTCCACAGCTTGCACGGTTTAGGTCGATCTCCGCCATGAGCACACATGTGGAAGGGAACCCAACATGACTGAGGGCTCAGAGCCTGAAGGGCACGAAAGAAGGAGGTCTGCCAAAAGAGCGAATTCTGATGATTCTCAATAACACAGCGAATGCCTGAAAGGCAGGCTGCACGCAGCACAAGGCAGACCGACTCAAAAACCAGATTGGCGGTTTCAAGCTTGCGTTTGTCTGCCCCACAAAGCCCGGGGACACCATCCGGATGGGCCGAAGTCCGTAACGGCTTGGGCTCGCGCAACTGACTCCCTCTCAACTGTGGAAGAGGTCTTTCACGAGCTGGTGTAGAGGTGCTGTGGGGCACACGGGCCCAGACCATTGCCACTCGGGAAGCCTCATGTTTGAGCATGGTGGTGAGCCCAGCGACACTGTCTGTACACAAAAGGTCGAAGGTCAAGACTCTCACAGATGAAGAAGCAGGTTTGCGATCCAGTGCCAAAGTTTGGAAGCCGATCTTTCCACACGCATGGCTGATAGCGACAGGGCCGCAACACAGTTCGATCACAAGCATATCCTGCACTTGCAACGATGGAGGTATTTGCATGGGTTCCCCTGTCGAGACCGCAGGACTCAAAGAAAATCCCAAATCCTTCAGAGCACAAATTTCGTGAGCCTTTAAATGATCAGCGAACCGGGTGTTGTACCCGACAAGGACACATCGCCTGCCCGACCAAGACAACGTGCAATGCTTGTCACGGGTGGCTGCAAGCCATTGCGGGCCTTTGTCAACAGGGAGAATTTTGCCCTTCAAGCGCGAGTCATGAGGGCACACGACATCACCATCCTCTGCCTGGTACCAAACGCCCCCACCTTGGAAAGAACTGATCGGCACAATGATGTTCCAGCTCTGGGGCTCGTTGTTCGCGTCAACATGCAGACTACTCTGACATTGATCCAGGAAAATGAATGAAGTAAAAGGCACCCCTTTCATGTGCGCACTCAGAAAATTGCAAATCAATCTCACGGCACCTGCATAGGCCATAGTATTAGAATGTAGACCAACAGCTCCACCGTGCACAAAACTCCCGGCAGCAAAGGATTGACCCTTCCCGTCCGACTGACGAGGAGAAGGGGATTTGGGCAAAGCATCAAACAACCTCAAGATGTCATCACTGCACAGAGTTTTCTGACTCAGAGATTCGATCAAGTCATTCAGATGCTCTGCTTCTGTGGCAGTGGGGCGAGCTGGAGCTCCAAGCGAGTCTGAGCCGCCTCCAGTATCAACACGAGGATTCTTCACCGCAGGTTGTTCACCTGGATCGGAAGAAGCATCGCTTGTGCCTAGTCAAGGCTTCGGCTTAGCGCGACAGGTTGCAAAGCTGTGGTTTGCCTTATGACACTGCACACACACATGAAACCCTTTGGAGCACCGCGGCAAGCCATCCACCACTTTGGTCTCAGACGTGCAACCTTCACCATTATGCGCCCAACACACGGGTCCCTTAGAAAACCTTGGGCATTTCTCAAAGGACTCGGGCATGAGAGCCCGCGCCTTCTTGCGAATCTTCTTTTTTGTCGCGGTTTTCTGCGGACCATGTGGCGTAGGAAGATCTGGCACCTCGGGCACTGCACCTGCACCTGAAGCAGATGCGACATTAGTGCTTGCGACTGGCGTGAGCCAAACCTGAATCCGCTGATCAAACATCATACTCGTAAAAGGGGGATCCAATGGCTTAATCCCGGTAGGCAACGGCTTGTAAGGTGGCTGTACCTCTCTTGCAAGCAATGTCCACACTTCTTTGTCAGCCCTGATAAGCTGTTCAGTGCGCACAGGAGAGCAGTGGCTCGGGACTGGAGCAGTCAGCAGATTCAACAAGCGTTGCACATACTGTTCGTGAACTGCCCACGACAGCAATCCGCACTGGTCCATAGCAATTCCACGTCTTTGCCAAGCCCACATAAGGTTGAGCGGACTGGACAAGTCCACTGGGATTTTAGGCTGAGGCGCTGTCAACTTCAACGCATCTTTCTCAAGATGAACGACAGGAGACTTTTCCGTGATTCCGATCGCAACCTCAGCATCCCTCTTACTGCAAACCGAGGGCGGCAACCACACTAAAGTCCCAGGTATTGCGCTTATCAACTAGGTTGTAAGACGGCTGAAGCTCACCAGTGATGGCGACTCCACTGAGCCTACGCTGCTGGTCAAGGGCACGAGCTGTTCGCTCCGGCAGCGGTAAGCGCTTGATCTGCACATCCGCTGTGTCTGAAGTTGCCTGCTCCTTGAACACTTGAATGACATATGTCTTGGCTTCAAAGTGAAGATCCCTCAGGATAGCAATCTTTCCCAGTGCCGGACTCGCACCAAAGACCTGTGTTGCCAAGTCGGAGTACTGCTGAGCCGACGGCTCTACTCTGGGGGTGCCTATGGCGAAAGCAAGCTGACGGAAATTGCGAATGCCCTGGGCAACCAAAGCCGCGTGCAGCGACCCATCTGAGCTGACCTCGGAACACCTTTGCAGGAAAGCAGCCTCAGAGGTGATCAGCGCCATGGGTTTCCAAGCTCGAGACCGACTCAATCAGTTACGTCCTGAAGACACTCCGTTTCGTACACCGTGACTGTTTTTGCCTGTGCTACAAACACATGCACGTACATCGCTTTCAGGTCCGAGCCAAAACTTGCACAGGCCATTGACTCGCACGTCGCCAGCTGCTCACCCCAAAGGGGAATACAGCCCACGCAAGACAACGATCACAGGCCATGCACTTGGCTCCAATGGCTTTGCACAGCATGACTGGACTCGCAAAGTCGCCCTTGCACGGTTCTCCTCCACCTGCAATCACTCACCTTGTGGACTCAAGGAGGCAGACCTCCCGACTCGCCACCAAGGGAATGGACTGCTGGGGCACGAAGATCCAACGGACTCCTCTTTCGCGCTTGCAGTCGAAGGTCTATCTGCGGAAACAAAATTTGCAGGGCAAGTCTTCCTGCTCTAGAGCATCGTTGCTATGCTTAAAATGTCGGGAACCCACCTTCCGTCCACAGGAAAACAAATTCTTGAAGTGAACTTTAGGAGCAAGGTGGGCTACCTTTGATGATTCATGCCTCCAGACATCAAACCCTACCGGAACCACAAGGCCCTGAGCAACCAATGCAATCGGTTGCCCATCGTCCTCATCAGATTCATCCGAGGATTCTCCTGGGGAGGCACCCGGTTCGGACTCACTGTCCACGACGATTGGCTCACCAGCTGAACACTCTTCGCCAAGCTCAGATTTGCACTCCTGTACCCTGGAGACATCAGAGGCTTGCGGGATCACGCTGGGCCCACCTATCCCACCGACTTCAGGAACAAAGCTGCTAACCAAAGGCTGAGCTCTTTCCGTGAGCAAGCGTCCACTCCTGGTGTCATCAGGCCGAAATGAGCCATCCCTGACTTCCTTCACAAAGCAGTGGGGCTTGAGCATCACGACTGTACACCAGGTCCATCCCACCTGCAGCGTGATACCCAAGCCTCTGGAGGGTTAGAGGATCAACACCCCGCTTTGCCGCCCAGGAAATCATGGTTGCCTTCATGGATTTCGAAGCAATGCGAGTATCACCGTCCTCAACTTGCAACAACAACCTGAGCCAAGCTGTAGCCTCATCGGTGTCTAGGGCTCTGACCGTTGGTTTTCCCTGAGCATCCGGTGCCGGCATAAATGGACATTTACCTGAATCGGTGATCCCAAGGTCCACTCTGCACGCCCTCCAGAGTCTCCGTATGGCCTGAGCCCAAGCGAAGGTGCCACCGCATGCAAGAATTTATGGCGCTTGCTTTGTAACCTGCAAGTCTTGTGCACACCGATTCGCAATTCAATGTAACAAAGGTCATCCTCGAAACCTATGTCCCACAGGATGGTCTCTGTGTGCTGGACATCACTCCACCGGCACCTGCTGTACGCGCACACCAAAGCGGCTCCTGCAAATGCTCTGCACCACTGGTCTGGATGGGATTCCAGAACATCGTGTAGCGTTTGCAACTGCTGCACCGTCAAGGGTGATGCTTGGTTTGGCTCCTTGAAGAATTCCGAAGTGCAGATTCCTTTGCACCGACGGCTGCTACTCACATCTGCAAGTTCTGACACTCCTACCACATGCAGAGTGAAGTTGATAGCCTCCAACACAGACGACAAACGGCTGGGTGGCGCTCCTTCTCTCTCAAGGGTTTTCAAGAAGTCATAAACATGCGATTCGGCACATGGAAACGTAGCACTCTTCTCACGGACGAAATCATGCAGCAGAGTCAAGCTCCTAGCACGCTTAAGAACAGTAGACGGTGCCTTGCCTTTCATGATGTCCCCAAGAACCTCAATCTGGTCCTCCCTGGATGAGCAGGCATCCAACTGAGAGACAAGTAGGCAAGGTCCCCACTGAAGAACCATGCACAGCCACATGTCTAAGCCAATCGCTAGTTGCTCACTACGCTGTTGCTTCCAATCGACGATCGCCTGGGCTTTGACCACTTTGCTGAACGACACATCATCAGAAGTCCTTCGCGCCCTCTTCGCTGCAGCCTCGGACGCCCCTACGGGGATGGCGGCCTCACCCTCAATGAAGATTCGCGCGGCTTTCTTGACGGGTAAATCAAGAAAATCCTTACCCCCAAAGATCACCCCAAAGACACCCTCATCCCACGGTTGAGCGAGCGCCTCCAAGTCACTAGATGCAAGGGGCACTTGACATGCACTCCTGAAGGTAGCTTCAAAATCAACATTGTGGCCTTCCAAAGGGTCCGACGCTGGTTGCAAAACCACGTGAGGGTCGGAATCTCGAACCTGGTTCCACCACAAGCTTTCTGGGCCAGCCAAATCGATCAAGGCTACATCCTCCGTGTCGGCGGGTACTGAAAGAGACGCTGCACAAGATTCTTGATCCTCGGGAAGTGTAACCGTAACCCCAAACCTAAACTGAGCAGCAGCCCTTTCAAGGACATCAATGTCAAGCTCGGCCTGGGGGATAGCACCAGGACAGATACTCTCGCCAGCAGCAGTGTTCACCAAGTCTGATGCACGAGTCTCACTGGGAAGGCTGCTATCTGGCAAAACATTGGCACCGTCGCCTAACATTGCATCGAGCGCCCCGGCCACTTCAACATCGGAAACCACAGAACTCTGAACACTCAAAAGGCGAGCCACCGGCACCGAAGAACCCAAACCCTGCAAAGGCAACTCAGGAGCCTCAGCTGCATCCCCACCCCCAAGAGAATCTGAGGCGGACAGAGGCGGAGCAGGCGGAAAAGCATCATGGGACATGATTGCGGTTCTCACAGCGGCTCACCCTCAGGCTGAGGAGTTAAGTGAGCGATGAGAGCCTCGAGGTTAGATGACGCTCCGGAGAGCGCAACTGGGCCGGCCAGGCCAGCGTCCATCTGCCAGCCACAAGAGGCTGGCGTGCACGGCGCTCTAAGAGCAACGTCGATGGAGGCCTGTTCAGTACCTCTGTGGACTCCAGGCTAAAAAGAAATTCTCGCCAATCACCTCGAAAGGGAAAAAGGCTGCAGCAAGAGAATTTCATTCACCACACAGCATGTGTGAAAACAGCAAGCTAATTTTCCAAGGAAAAATTTTCCTCAAAACGATTGAATAAAGTAACATCCCCTTTTTCGAGTGTCAGTGCGGGGAGTGTGTACTTTCTGGAGTGAAATGCTTAGGGGAGATGGTGGGTTGAGTAGAGGTTTCTGGTTGACCCGCCTGGCACCATGCGCAGGCCAGTGCTACCTGGAAAATGACCACGCAGTTCCTAACATGGCGATCCGCTGAGTAGACCCTTTGCTGGCAGAGCTCACAATCATGGTCTCGATGGATCAGATCTCTATAGTCTTCGCATTTGCTAGTAAAGTTATCAAGTCCAGCATCCCAGATTGCTGGGTGCATACGCTTGATGTGTTCTTTGACGGATCCCTGCTTAGCTTTCCATTGCCCACAAAAACCACAATGTGCATGAAGAGAGGGTGCCCAGGCTGCAAGGCTGTGGAGCGGGACTGGGGGTTGCTTAAGGAGGGCAACTGCCGTGCTCGTGCGCAGGATGGGTGTATCGGCTGGTTGTTCCCTGCTGGAAGATTCAGTAGGTACGTCCTGGGCGCTTTGTGCCTGGGTCTGATCAGGGTGCAGCGTGACCTGTGTGTGTGGGTTTGCTACTTGAGCCGTGGGGTCAGGGGCCGGCAACGGCTCCCCTTCCGGTTCTTCGGTTTGATGTTGCTCAGGAATATCCGCCGGTTTGGCACGACAGACGTAGGTGAGGATGTGCTGCTTGAAGGCTCCCCAAGATTGGAGATGTTTCTGGCAGTACCTGCACTGGGGCATGCCCTGTATGCAGTGCTCATGCTGTTTGTAATGTCGCTCCTCTTCCGCGTCGATGCTCACTTTTTGGTGGTGTTGTTGTGCTCTGTGTTGCCTAAGTGTTTTCGTTGACGGAAAGTAGATGCCACATTCCGGGCAAGCCAGGCCGGTAGTGGTGGGCTCGGCCGGAACAAGAGTTTGCGAGGGCAGCTCAAGGGTGGTAACCTGCTTGAATTCCTGAGCCGTGTCTTGCCAGAAAGTAAGGATGTCGGGGGTGTTCGTGATGTCAGCTGGTTTTTGTTGGAGTTTTTCAACCTTTCGCTGAATGGCATGATACAGTGAATCAAGGGGGTCGCTAAGGTGAAATTTGGCGCATAGGGTGGAATTGCTCTCGTGAGTAATGTGGGCAGGGGAATTGACTACCGCTCTAAGCTGTTTGTAAAACCAGTTACGAAGCTGAGTTGCCGCAGCGTATGTCATTCCCACCGGTAGAAGCCCATACGTTGCGCTGGAGACCGCGCATGCCGTCCAAATTCTAAGGCGGTGGGTGAGGCTAAATATTCTACGAGAGCGGGTGGATCTATGGAGTTTGGCCTCTCTACCCTTAGCTTCCTTGATGCGGTGACGTGTGTTAGAAAGGGCGCAAGCGCCCAGCTCCAGGTGGGTGCCAAGATAAATGACAGATTTGGCCAACGGTATGTACGCGGGGCCGGTCTCGGTCTCCACTTGCCAATGTTGCTTGCCTTCCTTGCGGACAATGTACTTTTTGAGCGCCCGTTTCCGTTTCGCCCCGGGGCCCCTGACTTTGAGGAGTAGCGCGGTCTTGGTGAGGTTAACGTGAAGACCTAGCGCTTCCATGACCTTGAGTACCTTAGCCAGGAGGACGGCCAGCTGACGCACATCACTTTCTTGCTCTATGAGCCATTGGCATAAGGTATCATCGGCGAAAGTTGTTCCCTGGCGCTTGGGGCCCGATAGGGCATCCCTATAAGTTCGTACAGGATCGTGGTGGATATCGCAACCCAAAGAAGGGGCGCTATACGACACCCTTGCCTTATTCCGCGCGTAGTGCACACGATGGAGTCGAAAAAATTGTCCTGAATATGGTATGACGAGGTATCATGCAGGGCAATCACCGCTGCAATGAGGTTATCCGGGGCGCCTAGTCGCTTGAGGGAAGAGGCGAGCGCCTGCCGGTCGACCCTGTCAAATGCCTGCTTGAGGTCCAGGCTGAGGATAGCTCCCCCAACACAGAGATCCTTTTGGGTGCCTTCCTCCTCACGGGCCTTCAGGGCGAACCTGCCCTTGCCGGCTTTGTCAAGAGTGTGACTGAACAGCCTCATCCAAGAGTGCACTCTGGCCAGTGCATCAAGGATATCCCTGTTGGGCTGACACGCGTACTGCGGCCCATCGGCAATGTTACTGTCGGTGGGAACTCGGAAGAAGGCTGCTCTGCACTGCAGAGACTCTTCCACATCGACAGCCTGCGAGACTATCGTGGCTCCTTCCGCCTTCCTCGTGAAGGCCTTGTGCAAGGACGTACGCGCTGCGTCGTTGTCGATCCACACAAACAGGTCGCTGCCTGTGAGGTACTTGGCCCACAGCTGCAAGCTGAGCAGGTAAGGCAGGAGCTCGCATTCAAAAACGAGTTGCTGCTTTTGAGCTCTGGCAACCCATTGGGTTGCCACCGTTGGCTAATCTGTAGCCCCCAGGTGAAGGCAAGACCTTCGCCAATGAGCACTGCCCCCAGACCGCACTTGGGCACACGGCGTGGGAGCTCCCACTCGCAGGCCCCGTCCATGTACAGATGGAAGTGGCGACGGGCGTGAATGGACACTGTCCTGGGAGGGCCGTGCACTACGCGCTGCAGAAGGAACTCCATGGCCTGGCGCTGCTGCTCTGAGAGTGGAACTTGCTCCGGCCCGTCCCCAGCGACGTCACCAACGCAGATTACTGCCATGCGCGTGTTACGGCCCCAGGCCTGTTGCTCTGCAAAAATTAGACGACCGCGCAGACTCTGCGCTTCGTGAGGGGACATGCTTCCACGGGCCAGGGCCTCGCTGAGGACCATGCCCAGCTCCGCTGCGCGGGTGGGCTTGTTCTGGACCGTAACTTGCCCAAGGTGCTGCTTGGACAGGTCGACTCTCACGCCCAGAACGTCGAAGACTTCGCTGAAGTCGACGTTCTTTTTGGGCTCGGTGGCTACTTGCCAGCGCAACTTCTTAAACATGCTGGCGACTGCCAGGCTCACGAGATTCTTGCGCGCGCTGCGCGTAAGAACAGTGAAGTCGTCGAAAAAACTCGTCATGACTAGCGCGAGTTTTTCGCGGCCGATGGCCTTAAGCGCCTCGCTGCAGCGAAGAAAAGCGTGCACTGCAGCCACTGCGCCAAAAGGCATGCTATGGAGGTAGGCGATCTTCACCTTGCCAGTCTCTGGGTCCCGCATGGCAATGCATGCGAACTTCTTGTGCGCGGCTTGCACTGCAAGCTGTTTATATGCGCTTTTGAGGTCCCAGGTTCTGCCCACTATGCGGTGTGCCTGCTCTGCAGGGACGCCCTGGCGCAGCCATTCGAGGCACACTGCGAGCAGTTCGTCGATGCTATCGACCTGCACCTTCTCTGTGGTGGCGCTCCAGCCGCTCAGTTAAGGAGACGTCGCGTTCAACTTTTATCGGGGTGTCAGGAGGATGAGAATAACTCTTCGGGTCGTGGTTTCGAAAGTAGCGCTTAGATTGTCTAAAGGATTGAAAAAACTGCTTAGCCATATCTTCTGTAAGGAATACAACTCTGATAAAGCTAGTAGAACTAGTAAGGAGGTGATTGGAGATCGACTGCACATCTGTTTTGTCTAGCTGCGCATGTTAAGGAGATACCACATGTTATCGTCAATTGTTTTCTTGTTGCAGAAGGGAGGAACCTGGTGTATCAAGATGGTTCTTTTGTGCATCTCGAATTCTACTGAGGACAAACTAGTTTTAAGTAGAGTGTTCTTTTTTTCTAGGGATCTAATTTGGGGGGTGAGGGTGCTTAGCACATGATCCTGTAGCTGAGCAATTGCTGGGGAGACAAAAGTAGCGTGGTATTCCTCAAAGGCTTCCTTAATGTTGTCCTTATTGATTTCGGGAGCTTGGGTGGAGCTTGTGGCTGCAGGGGGGGGAGGTACATCAGTAGGCATGGAGAACTGTCCTAAGTTTGGGTCCAGTCGAGCCTCTTTCCTAGGTCGCCGTGTGGCCATGAATAGCTGATACTTAGAAGGATCTGATTGGAGTTCCCGCACTAATTGCGGGTCCATATCTCCCCAAGAAGGAGGTTCGTCTTCTTCTGTTTTGGCAAGGGAAGGAGGGGTTCTTAGCCCTGTTAAAGATGAAGCCATAGAGATCTGTGAGGCCTGTTTTTGCTGGTGGGAAACTAGGAGGCTGTCATACATGGGCTTTGTGATAAGTTGCTGGTCTGCTGGGGAACAGAGCATATATACTTCATTCTCAAACTCCTTAAGGGAGAGACCTGGGCCTAAAAGGTGCTCTTGGATTAGATTAGGAGACTTACCTGCGGCCCTCGTGGGACTAAAGAAACAAGACCTGTTCGATATTATGCATAATTGTGGTTGGTTTGAAAACCCGAACGCCCAAACCAACAACTGAACGGGTAAAGTAAATATGGACTTGTTTGGGGTCTTACATGCAGTGGCATATTTCGATCAGGAATCAAGGTACTTTAGATTGTGCCTATATATATATATTATAAATTATACATATATATATATATAAATATATATATATAGGCACAATCTAAAGTACCTTGATTCCTGATACAAACAAAGCCTAAACACGAACTAAAACTTGCACTTGCAATGGGCGGTGTGAACACACATATAATACCCGTACTGTCAGAAACCCAATAAAGCCTTGCCATCATGTATCATCAATGAGAACCCATCTTTGGACTACCCTAAACCCTAAAACCTTAAAGTGACGGAGGGCCTGCGATCGCCGGTCGAGTTCGCAGCTGGGTAGGATGGCTCGATGAACATTGCCATTATTTGAACAGAATCCTCAAACCATGTAAAGGCCCGCCTTTGAGCCGGGATTTCAACCCGAAGTACGGTACATACCTTTAGTAGTCTACTTGGAGGTTCATGAATAGTTAAGAGTGGGTTATAAATATACTCATTTGAACCCATATATGCATGTATATATAGAGTACTTAACCCACTTATAACTGTCCATGAACCTCCAAGTAGGGTGTTCGATTGCAATTAAAGGGGTCCATGGCATCGGCGCTGTTTCTGCAAGCAGAGTGGCGGCGCCGTGCTTCCGAGTCTCGCTTCAAATTGCAACGAACTGATCCCATTCTTTGAAGTTGCAAAGTCAGTAACTATCAGTATGTTGCACTTAATCATCTTTTGGGTCAGCTCTCCGTGTACCATGCATCACGTACTAGCAAGAGGTATCTTTGCAGGGTCCTCATTGCTGTAGCCCTGGGACTCACGGACCGGGCGACGCGGGCTATTCGCCCTATCAAGTCTTCGTCTTGACTGCAAGATTCGCAACACGGGTTGCGAGCGAAACCAGTCATGTCGGCTTCCCACTGGATCACTTTGACTATATGATAGAGGAAGTGGTGCTTAGGAGTGATTGCAAATCTCTCCTCCCCAAGATGAAAGGAGAGAAATGCAAGTCTTGACGAACCCTTCAAGAAATGCATTCCAGATTGAATCATCGTGTCTTTGTCCTTCCCACACAGCCACAAATCTCCAGAGTAAAGGCCCTTCATAAACATGTTGAGTGCGCGAGTCGCACTTGCCTGAGCTTGCACACTCGTGCGCAAGCCTTTACACATATAAATTATTGTATAGAAATATAACCCGATTGAACCCTGGATGAATCGGCACAGCTGCCGTGAGCCGTAGGCGTTCGTCACAATGTTGTTCTAGGTTGAACCTCTTAGCAAAATCTTCGGCGAACTGAAGTAGCGTCGTGGTCAGGGCACCTTTGTGCCAGTGCCCGTCCGGGCACGATGCAATGGATGGCCATCCAAGGAGGTCCTTGGTGATTCCCTTCTTGCCAATGTATTTGGTTTTCTTTGGCACCTTAGATTCATCGATCACCATATAATAAGGTCGGGCTGGCATTACTTTACCCACACACATAAACCCGAAAATCCCTAAACCCCTAAACCCTAAACCCGAACCCAAAAACCCTGAACCCCAAGCAGAGCAGCAGAGTTTTGGCAAAACCGAGTATATTCCCGACTCAACGACTGCAGCTTCTCGGGGATAGAGTTCCCATCGACGAAGGGCAAGTAGAGTATAAGTACCGATGCCACCCAGGACTTGCCGACCCCCATATTGACACAGTGCCAAACATCAGGTCTGTAATAGGATGCTAGCGAGTTGGTATCTTGAGGAAGCAAATTTGTGAAGTAGCTTTCGTCGCCTGGCGCCCAAGGAAGCTGCTCATCTACGGTCTCCATGAATTGGGGCCAATCGCTCCTTGGCGGTTCTGGTATCTTCGGTGCAAGAGTTCTGGTGTAGGGCTTGGGGTGGTATATTTATTATGGTGTGTTCGGGGTTTGCCGTTCAATGCAAATCTACTCAAAATCCAAAACCCGAAATCCTAAACCTATCCAAAACCCGAAATCCTAAACCTATTTTCGCCCTATAGGGTTTGATTTCGCAGCTCGGGTGACAACCACAGCACACCAGAGATGAGAGCCCTGAGCAAGCCTCACGAACCCTCTTCTGAAAAGCAGTAGACCGTACAGCTGAAGATATATGAACAGCCTGTGGTTTCGGGTTTAGAAGTGTGCAGGCCTTGCATGGACGAGTTTTAACAATAGGGCTGTTCGAGTGGATGCATACGTATAATTGCAATTCTAGCGGCATGTCTTCAAAATCCAAACCCGGCTGGCCTGCTCTGCATAAATGGCAGATGCCCACACCAGGTTTGCCATCGTCTTTCTTCTTGCCGCGCCGGAAGTGCCGCAGCAGGTGTCCGGCAGAAATCTCGGATGGAAGGTTTAAGGTTTACAGGGTTCCATAAAATATCTACAGGGTTTATATCAGGAAAATTAAGGACGGGTTTGCTATATGAACTCGATCAAGCTTTCTTGCTGCTATATTATAGATCCCGAGACCCCAAAACCTTAATTGTTCAATCATCCTGAGATATATCGAAGCCTAGCTTCCAAGAAAGGCCAATCGCCTTTCACACCTATCGGCACCAGGTGTAATTTCGATCCGTCCTCCAACGTGACCCCCGACAGGTATGCTTCTCGTAGATCCGAACAAATGTGCTGGAAAACATCCTCAAGAGACTCTCCATCCTCGCCATAATGTTCCTTGACAATAAAACTAGGGATGCTTAAGCAACTATATGGTTCATAGGGTTTAGGGTATTATATATACTTTTTATAAGTTATAAGGTTTAGAGTTTAGGGGTTTATGGGGGTATAGGGTTCGTGACATAGAAAGTTTATGGGTTTGGGGTTCAGGAGCATGTCACGGCCCAGAGGTTGGTAATCATTTGTGATGGCTGTGTAGCACAAAATGTAAAAGCTTGCTAGATTGCAAGAATCTTTCGGCATCACTGCATAAACGAAGCGGGTCGCCAGAGTAATACCCCGCTGATTGACAAAGTATTTTTTCTCCGACAGGTTGCCATGGATGTTGGGGTTATTCAAGCTGGTTCCCCGGCCAAAAACGCTCTGCCATTGTATGACCATGACCGCCGCCTTTTTGTAATGCTGCCCCTCATCTCCGTGTATGTAAATCGGGAGGCAACGGCTCAGTGGCAGGTTTGTGTTGAAGAGGTCGAAGTTTGGGTATAGCTTCCGATATTTGCACCAATAATCATAGCACATCTGTTCACCCCTTTCCAGGTTCGGGGTACCAAAGATCTTGTCCCAAAACCCACACCGATCCATACACTTCACGAAATCCCCTGCCCGCAGAATAGGAAATTCTGAATCGCCATGAATAGAAACGGTGCTGATGGGGACATCAAGTCGCAAATGTTGCAGACACCTGTGAACAGCATCTTCCTAAGCAGAAGCTCCGAACAAAGGAGTTAATCATAGTTATATATATACCCATTACCAACCCCACAAAAAAATCCAGATGACCCGAGTATCAGACTTGGTTTCTGATCCCTTGCTCAGCTTCCTGAGCGTGTTGCAAGCCCCAAAACCGAAATCCTTCGTGACAGCCTTCGCCATCCGAATTGCACCACGAGCTGTTGAAGAGCCACGCCCGACGTCACCAGCCAGAAGCTTGGCGGTCTCTGAAGTACCTGGCAATTGGGGTGGCAGGTTACTCGGGGATCGTGTTTACATTGCTTGGGGCTTTGGGGTTTCCCGAAGATCGGATGCTTTGGTTTAGGGTTTAGGGATGGGAACAGACTGGAGTTTGAGGTCGTGTGCAGTTCTCATGGGGCTCGATGAGGATGGTTATTGGGACATATAGGCGTTGTAAGGTTGAGCGATAGCGGAGTGTACGGTTGTTGGTTCCGGGAATTTAGAGGCGAGGGCTCATTGAGTGATAGCGGTGTGTAGGGTTTTTGGTTCCGGGATCATTTAAAGGGCGAGGGTTCATGTAAGATCGAGCGATAGCGGAGTGTAGGGTTTGTGGTTCCGGGTAAACCTATAGTCTCCATTGTATATATGTTCCTTTTTCGGTTAACCAACATATTATATATATACATATATAGGGTCCTAACGTTAACAAAAAAGGAGCTATATATAACAATGGAGACTATAGGTAGAGATCTGCAGGTTTCTCTACATAGCTGGGAATACCACTCGGGATTTCCTGCCTCCGGCTTTACGATTGTTTCTGGGGTGTGTGCCAAGGTAAGGCTCTGGCCGTTTAGGGGCTGAAACTGGTGTTGTGGGTTAACGTGAGTTTGGGGACCATAGAAGACTTTCTGTAACGGTTTCGGGTTTAATAGTGGCATCATTAAGGGGGCTTTTTTCGGGGTTTATTATTATACTCAGAGTGAAGATCGCAGACATTGATATTCCTCGCAGAGTGACACTTCATGTCCCATCGAGATTCGAGCGCATGCATGTGTGTATATATAACACACACACACACACACACACACACACACACGCACAAAAGGTGCGCGGCTACCGCGCAAGATGCTGCCCCCCAAAACTTCAGTGGCCCGAGCTTAAGCACAAGGATTATTCAATGCATGCTTTCATATGCAATGCCACTGCCATCTGCACGCAGCTGGTGCATGTCTGGGGCATACGATCTATGTTGCGCTCTTCTGCCTGACCCGCCTTGGCGGGGTTTTGACGGGCGTAGCCTTTGCTGCTGCAGCACCCTTGCCCTTGCGGCGCCTCTGCCGAGGATTCTTAGGCTCGGGGACTTGCTCAGGCTCCTCATCCTGATCCGCCTTGCTCGCTTTGCGAGCCAGGTTCACACCCTTCATGACGAGCCTGGGTTTTAAATCTGCAGAGAGAGAGAGAGAGAGAGAAAGAGAGAGAGAGAGAGAGAGAGAGAGAGAGAGAGAGAGAGAGAGAGAGAGAGAGCGAGGGCGAGGGAGCGAGGGAGGGAGGGAGGGAGGGAGGGATCGAGAGAGAAAGAGTGCATGAGTGAAAGAGCGAGAGCGAAGGAGAGAGCCAGAGAGAGACACACACACACACACACACACGAACAGTTTACAAATCGGTAAGCACCATGAACAAACATATAGGGTCGTAGGGCCGAGGGGTTGGGGAATGCGATCAGGCCACTTGTGCTGGGCATCCTTTGACAGCAGGTCGGCACACCTTGTATACAAGTCCATATATCATGTCACGGTGCTATAATCTGACGCAGGAGCGGAGAGTTATTTGATGCAGTCGGGCCACGGCTTGGCGATCGACTCACGGATAGTCGTGAATTCCACCTTCACCCTTCAGGGCTTCTATAAATATCTAGACAAATACCGGGGTCACGGGTTCTACAGGGTTTCGGAGGCAAGCGACCCGTCTGAAAGCCTCGCCCCGCCTCTGGATTCCAGCATGATCCACATCCTCCATCTCCAGCTTGGAAACCAGGCCGGCCATCTGCTCGTACGCCCCCGAGATGGGCGTGGCGATGCTCATCAGCTCCTCAGCCAACCTTGGAGATTTTAAGGCTCATGTACTATATTATTATAGAGTTGTCGTCATATATATGTAGAGGCAAGTTGCTTGACTGTTCCTTCGGTCGGCTTGGGGTTGTAGGGCTCGTTGAGCTGCTCAATCATTCGCGTCACAGTCCGGCTTTTCGCCAACAGGGCATCCATGTAGCGCTTAAGCTCATCTTTAACCTGCATCAGCCCGTAAGAACAGATCGAAGCCCAACGTGACCGCACTATTTGTCATCGCATATATAATATACTTCAAAGCATCAACCCCAATGTCTCGGTATATGTCCCCTCTTTCACTCGCTCGCTCTCTCTCTCTCTCTCTCTCTCTCTCTCTCTCTCTCTCTCTATCTCTTTCTCCTCTCTCTTCTCTCGCTCTCACACGCACTCTCTCTCTCTCTCTCTCTCTCTCTCTCGCTCTCACACGCACTCTCTCTCTCTCTCTCTCTCTCTCTCTCTCTCTCTCTGTCTCTCTCTGTCTCTCACTCTGCTTGAAAGCCAAAGCCGAAGTACGGTGAGGTTCTCAAGTTGTATTCCTGTTATAGGGTTTGGTGGGATAGCATTCTACTTGGAGGGGCAGGGGACTTGTGTGGTTATATATGTATATAATGTATAAGTATAGAGCTTTAAGTAGCCTAAATGGAGTTGCCCCAATTATACCCCTACTTATACAAGTCCCCTGCCCCTCCAAGTAATATCCCAGCGCTAGCCTTCGTCTGCTCCGCATTCGCCTTCGGCGGCTCCCGGCCATTCTCCCTGTCCAAAGTCGGGTCACCGATAAACCCCGATGCAACGCCGGAAGCCACATCGACAGGGTGCTCGGCTGTTCCTTCCTGGCAGAATTCGGGGAGCGGTTTGGAGAGCCCTTGGCTTATGATGGATCGATCGATACGGTAACATTGGGGTGAGAGATATATATATATATATATATATATATATACATATATATATATATATATTGCATATGCAGTAAGATATATATATATATATATAATATTATATATATACCGCATCTATATCACAACGATCGAGGACCTAAAATATTCCCTCATCCCGAACCCAAGAAATGCGCCAGTGCACGCTGGCCAGGTTTCGGGCGGCAGGGTTTGGGGTTAAGGGTTCAGGCCCGCGTCAAGGGTTCAGGCCTGCATTGAGGGTTCAGGGTTTAGGGCGTTATAGGGCTACTTGCGATCCCCACCATCAACAGATCGATCCGAAACCGGACCCAACACACTGCGAGTTATAGAACCCGGCCTGACCTTTAGCATCATCGATACATCCTCGTTCCCCTCACCATAGCACCTATGCATAGGATATCATCCTGACTAGCATCACCAAAACAGATGCCGTCATCAAGCTTGCCATCATCACCTCACGATGCTGTCACCATGCACCACTCTGATCTCTTTACCATCTATAATGCCTTCATGGCCGTCATCACCATCACCTTAAATGAGGCCATCAGAACCATCATGACATAAATTTCCGACCCATCATATACCCGAAGCTACAAACCACCCAGAACCCAAAAGCCCTATTTCGGTTGATAGCTTTGGATTCGCGGAGCCAAGGATCCTGGGGCCGATCTATCTATATGCTGGCTGCCAAGGTGCGTGATGGGATGATTTGTAAGAGAAGGAATCCAGATAGGGACCCTAGGTATTCTAATCTTAATATCCGATACTAGGTTCTATATATGGTTGATATATATATATATATATATTATACATGTATATGTTTAGGAGGCCCGAGCTATAAGCTTCTGAAAGGGTTTCCCACCGGTCCTGAGCTGACTCATGCAAGTACTTGTCCAGCTCGCTTTGCTTGATTTTCGAAGTAGACTCCAACTCCACAAAATATTCTGTCACGCTGGTGTTGTACTTCCAAGGCCTCCCATGACAGTTATGATCTGGAAAGTAGACTGTACCCTAGACATGCATGTTATCGATCTTGCCAATACAATCGCACAATACAGTAAGCGAACCTCGTGAGTGTGGCCGGGAACTTCAGGCAGTACTGAACCACTTGCTTGATCATGTCCCTGAGTGGGGACGTCCACTAGGAAAGTTGATTCAAGTTTTGCGAAATATACAAATCATGATTGCAAACACGGTGCTTGCCCCAGCTGTGTTTGTTCTTCATTCTTTCCTCCGTCAACCATTCTCCGGTCACCTCCTTCTCGCGTTGAAGGATGCGCTCCTTCACGAAGGTAACCTTGCAAACGAAGGCCGCCTCGGTTCAGATATGGCCCCACGCTTGAAACCACAATGGGTACTCATGCACATATAATGCGTCACAGGCACCCGCATTTTCTGATGCGGGGCATCCGCCCCCAGTTCCTTGATCGTTTCGAGCAGGGCGATTTCCAAGGCCTCTCTCGAGGATCCTCCGGACTTCCAATCGGCAGTTAGCTCCTCCGACACCCACGCTTTGCCGCTTTTCTTTTTTTCACAAAGTCGTTTCAATCTCATTCGTAGTGCGTCGTGGCTAATTACCTTTGTTCCGTCCGGCATTATGATGCTGTCAGCATCCAGGCTCTCACCGGACTCGCCGGCCTTCGCACCATCGCCCGACACCGAGTCGGGAGGAGCGGCATTCTTCGGAGCCTTCGGCATCGGAACGGGAGCCGTTCCAGCCTGGTGCTGCTTGATGATCTCGGCCTGCTTGTGAAGCTGCTCCTCCAGCAAGCGGATCTTCTCTGTCATCGGATCCACGGGCTTCGTGTCAGCCTTCTGGAAGCCTGCAATCAAGCTGGCTTGCTCCTGAAGCTGTCTCTGCATAGCCGCGAGCTGCTTCTCCAATGGATTGGTCCTGCGTGCAGTTGGCTGCGTCGTCTTGTCGCCTGTGCTTGGGCTCGGCTTTCCTGTGTGGGCTGGTGGCGTGACCGTTGTTGTGCTTGGGCTCGGCTTTCCTGCGTGGGCTGGTGGCGTGACCGTTGTTGTGCTTGGGCTCGGCTTTCCCTGGTGGGCTGGTGGCGTGACCGTTGTTGTGCTTGGGCCCGGCTTTCCCTCGTGGGCTGGCGGCGTCACTGTTCGGCTCTTTCCCACCGGCGGCGCGGGCTTTTCCGGGGAGGCTACACTCTCGAAGGTGGCTGTCAATCCAGTCCGAACCTAAGCTATTGATGTGCATGCAACCAAGTGGTTTAAGACAATACACACACATTCTCCGCCCCAAATTATGACACGGTACTTCTCCAATACCTCCACCATCATCCTCTGAAGCTCCCGGCTCGGTAGCCTCTGAATCAGAGACCTCCTGAGCCTGCTCATCCTCCTCACCCGGGAGGCCAGCCAGCTCTGCGAACTCTGGCTCCTGACGCGGTGTTGGGCGTGGGCTGCTCTTCATCGTGCCCTGTGGGTGTTTGGGATATGGCCTGTAGCACCGTGCAATGCAGGGGTTCTGAAAGGGCTTTCGGATTGCAAGGGGTGTGCGGAGTATAGGTTCAAGCCGGCCGTTCGGGTGTTGCGGGGCCATACAGGGGGCTGGAAGGGCTCTCTCCATATATACCCCGAACCCAGCCTCAGACCTATATAATATATATATATATATAATATATATATATATATATAATATATATATATATATATATATATATATATATAGTCTTAGTGTATATATAGGTCTGAGGCTGGGTTCGGGGTTGCAGGTTCTGCATGGTACTCTACCCCTGGCGAATCCTTGGGGCACATGGACAAGGTAGCACTGCATGTTTAATAATATGTTGCTAGGCTTTCCCGGATCGAATTACGAAAACCCGGCCTAAACTATAGTATAATTCGAAAATGTATAAAATAGGGGCTTTCCAATCTGCATGACCCTTTGCACTGTGCAGCCCTATACTGCCCTGAGCGGACCCTAGACTTTCAATTCGCAGGAATGAACCGATCCCCAAATCCGAAGCTGACCGTGCAACCAAGCCCCCGGACCCATCGGATTTAATTTAGGATTTGGGGTGTAGGGACATGTAGGGAAAGGTTTTTGCGCGTGGGGATCAATACATATACCCGAAGCCCCAAACCCCCCAAACCTGTACAATCCCAAGCCCTTTCCGGCAGTCCGCAACAGCCCAAGCCCCAAACCTTTCCCAAAAACCCGATAATATAATATTCCCAAACCCGAAACTCCAAGCCCATAGCGATCGACGGACTGTTCCCTGTATGTACGGCGCCGGCACCGCCTCCGAAACCACTGGCTCAGCGAGCACTGGCTTCTGCTGGCGGCGGGTCTGCGGTGGCGGTGTCATGTCCTGCCAAGTGGGGATTATATATATGCTCGACACACACACACAATCCCACACATTATCATACGCTCCTCCTTCTTCACTTTCTCTTGCTTGATGTGGCTCAGCTCAGACTCGGCTGCCTGGTATGGGATCCGAACGAACATATGATCATATCACTGGATTGTCGTTGGGAAGTTCAGGGGAAGGTTTAGACTTGGAGGGTCGGTTAAGAGTTTTATGACAAGTTGGGGTGAAAAGCTTCGGTTCTTTGCTGGTCTTTTGAATTGCTATGCTTACGATGTGCCAACATTGCATATGTGAGTATATGCTTTGAGATATGTATATAGGTTACAATAGGTATATATAGATAATGATAACTGTGATAATATATGTATACATACACAATAAATATAATATATATATATATATATATATATATGTATGTGTGTGTGTGGGGGTGTGTCTGGGTGTATGTATGATTTAGACATACATATATATATATACATAATTTATATATATATATATATATGTATAAATCATACATACACCCAGACACACCCACACACATACACATGCACATACACATGCATACATGCGTGTGTATCATGAGTGTCCACAGGGTCGGTTCTGTGTCTTTGGGGTGCTAGCAGCCTACAGCAAGGGTTGGATGGGAGCATCACCCGGGCCCACGAGAAATCTGAACAGAAGCCCCAGGAAAACCCTCCTGAGCCCAATATATACAATCAGATGTAGCTATCAGCCAGCCCCTAGGCCTGCAAACGTCGCAGTAGCTCCTCTCGGGAGAGCTCAGCTCGCTTCCCCGTAGACATGGCTGCAGGTGTGGAGTATTGTGCAGCCAAGGATGCTGCACTCCAAGCCCTGCTAGGAAGGGTCTTCGGCCTTCGCAAGGCCATCCTACTGATCAATGAAAACCTCTGCGGATTTGCATTCTGTGGCATCGAACCATCCTCCCATGTTGCACAAACGCGAGGCGATTGTCGACATCACTTCTTTATGGCCGATGCTGGAGTCACCGATTGATGGCTGGCTGTGCAAGGCACCGCGCCTACAGAATGCACTAGCGAGCTGTCCTAGAGGTACCAAATCCAAGTTTACCGGTCTTGATAGGGGCTAGTTTGGGCCCAGCCGTGAACACCTTTTAGGCGATCAAAGAACGTTCAAAAGGCATCCCCCCGAACGCTTTCGAACGCTTTAAGAATGGGTTAAGAATGGGTTGAGAACGGGTTGAGAACGGGTACGGGGTTTGAACGGGGTTTGAACGGGTGCCCCTAGAGTCGCACTTTGCACGGCCAATGAACGGCCTTTAGGCGCCCCGAACGCCTTCTGAACGGCTTCTCAACGGGTCCTATGTAGCGGTAGCTTACTTTACCTTAGATTTAGACCAAAATAGCCCCAAATTGCTACATAAACCAATAGAATCGACAATGACCCCTTTCAGACAAAACCAGGAGGATTGTAGGAAGGGTGAAGCACAGCCGATTGATCGAGCACCGGTGATCTCAGGGAGCACCAATTATATCTGTACATTCTAAGGTTCCGAATTATCGGGACGTGTTCAGTGTCCATATAATTAATAGCCGCTATCGGGAATGCTACAACATGGGTCTCACCAACACATCCTGATATGTAGCTTCACAAACGACGTGGGAATACACTCTTCACATCGACCGGCAAGCACAACAGCTTCGACCCGCGAAGATACACGATGGCTTCTAGCAAGTTCGCTTCTGGCCAGTCCCAGCCATCATCCCTGTCATGATCTGCCCTGGTGGAGCAGTTCTCGATAAACTGAATGGCAGTGAATGAATCAGGAGCCGGCCCCGGCTTCCCCTCTCCCTGAGAAACCAGTTGTGGCATGAGGTCGCGTATTCGGTTTCCGAATCCAACTGGGTATGACCTTAGGTGTCTAGCGTCAGGGTTGCATACCATGGATCAAGATGCAAACTATATATTGGGCACGCACACCTGAGGACTTCACTGGCTATCTTTGAGGTGCTTCGGAAGACCCGTCCATTTCTTCTTGCCCGTAGATTGGTCGCTGTCGTATTTGACAAGCTTACGCTTCGTTTTGGAAGCACGCACCGCTCGACCAAGCACACCTTTGTCCAGCAACGCCGTGGCCTTGTTGTTCGAGTAGCCATGAGATCTCTTCGGGGTCTCGGCACCGTAGTGCATCATCCACCATGCGGAGAGGTGGACCTTAATTGGCAGTTGTTTCAATTTCACGAGGGATCCCTTTTAGTATTATAATGTAGTGCACCAACCCCTGCAACCTCAAACAGGCAGACCTCACCTGTTTTCGAAAACCGCCCGACCTACTAATGGTAACGGTTTATGTATGGGGTCGAGGTCGCAGGTGACTAGTGCCCTATCTCACCTTTATCTTCCGAGAGTCCTACTGGAGGATGAACGACTGGGAGGCTGCCTCAGGCCTTGGAAACCTGGCCTGGTTTGATTATGGTTGGTCAGAATCAGTGGTTGGCAGCTCAAGATTCTGAGGGTTCGGGATGACCTTAACATATGATTATGCTTGGGCTTCACTGTAGATAATAGAGGCTTTGGGATAACCTAGCCCTGCCGTTACCTTCAATTTGGGTGGTCCTCTAGTCTGATTGAGGCTGCAAGATGGTAGAGTGCTGGCTGGCAATACAGCCCGGGTCGAAATCAGTTGACTATTGTATTGTAGGGTGCTATACTAAAGATTTGCGTCAAATATTAAAGATTGGGCTGCGCAGGGTTTCGGGTTAAGGATTTGGGTCCCGACCAGGTGCAAACCCCATAGTCAAATCCTTTAGAAGCTGCCCCCACCCTGTAATAGTGACTATATAAGGATTAAAAAAGGCCCCTATTATATTCCTATATTATACCACTATTACAGGGTGGGGGCCCCTTCTAACAAATCCTGTATATACATAACCCTAAACCCCGAAGCCCAAAACCCTCCAAAACCACGATTGCCTTGACGAAACAGGGCCTGAGCTTCCAAAACTATACACGACTATACAAGTCCCAAGAACAGTCCCAAACTGTAAGGGTTTCAATTATGTGTGCATTTAGGGTGTATATGTGTATAATATATGTATGTGTATGTGTGTATATATATATAATATATATATATATATATATATATATATATGTATGCACCTTTCCAAATGACCTCATAATTGGGTACTTGGGTTTCGGAGTGTAGCAATTATAAGTTTTGGGGAGTATTTGGGCAGGAGGCAAAAACCCGGGGAAGCATTTTTGGTATGTATGTATATATATATATTATATTATATAGGTCGCACATGGTAAAAAAATATGATGACGCGCGGGCATCATATTTTTTTGCCATGCCAAAACCGCATAAACCCCTTCCCGGGCCCATCTCATCAGGATCTTTGGGCCTGCCCTGTCCCGACCTTCAACGATTGGTGGCGGCTTAATCAGGCCAGGCAACGAATGCTGGCTTGAGGGTTCAGGGCTGACTAGAGACCTTTAGAAGCATGGTTTAGGGGTAAGGGTTTGTAGGGGTGTGTGTGTGTATATATATGTATTGTGCAATTGCACATACGTGTGCATGTCTGTACATACCTACACATGTCTCAAGCGGCACATATGGAGCTCTGCTTACTCTTCCTGTTCTCGAGCCCAGGACCCTGTAGATCAATAACCATAATCCATCGAGCAAGGCAAATTCCCAAGCCCAGCCCGAAAGCTTAGAGGTTGTTCGACATTTAGCGAAGCATCGAGCAGGCCCGAACAGCTTTACAGATCCCTTGGCGTCCTGCAGCAAGCAACCCGAAGCCTGATTCAAAACCCGAACCCTGAGCATGGCGCTGGCTACCCAGCCCATTCAGCTGAGAAGCTGCAGAGTCGAGTTGCAAATCCCAGAAGCGATTGTACCACCGAAGCACACTTGATGAGGGCTGCTCGACCAAGTAGCTCCCCCCACGTGCAATCACGAGCTTCAGTAAGAGGCACATCCTGAGCAGCACATGGGATCGGGGGATTAACATATACATGCATGCGAATCATGCATTTTTCAAGCAGCGCCCATATTTAGTGCAGCATTGAAACCTCGAGGCCATAGAATTCGCGGAAAGGATTCTAGGCTGCGTTACGTCACCTTGTGGCAGGAGAACGGACCTTTTGCTTATGTAGGCATTCGTCCGCACCCAAGACGAGCACACGATTCCCCATATGGTAATGAACTCGTCTTCTTTCGCCGCTAGGATAAGCCATATACCAAGCCTCAGTCATTCCGCAGCGGAACAGCCAAACCAATTAGTTGGCCTATACTGTCACACCGACACATGCAATGCTTCAGGCCCCAGCGCAAGTCCCGAAGCACTCAAGATGTCGAAAGGGTTGGATTGTGTACCCGAAATGCCATCGAAGTAGGATATGTCCACGGCACAAGATGGATACCCGGAGTTGGAGACCGAGCGGAAAACATTCGCTTTCCCGGCGAAGAACTCACAGTATTGGATCTCCTGGTGCATATCGGTTTCTATCGAGTTTCCAATTTAGGATTTCGCAAATTCCTCTGAAGCACATGTCCTGGTTCAGCATCCCAAGCTTGGTGTAATAGACAAGAACCACACATAGGATGAACACCTAAGTTGCCGTTTCTCTTTGGAGGACTAGATGATTCGTGGGTATATATACTGCAGCTCGGGGACAGCTGGGCACTTCAATTCCTTCAGCCGCCAAACCAATTGGTCAATGTATGCCATCGTCAGAAGGCGACCGCTAGAAACCTCTAGACTTGTACGATATGCCAGCAATGCTGCTAGCTGTAATTTGTGAGATGCACATGTATATTCATAAAAAGCGCCTGCGTGTGTCCGGCCTTCGCAGGAAAACTGCGAGCGGTGGAGAGGCCGTCAGTTTAAGGACGTATATATAGGGCTTAGGGAATTGAGTTCGGGTGTGGGTTCAGAAAGTTGGCGTTCTCGGGCTTGGAGTTTAGAGTTTAGGGTGTGGGGCTTGGGTTAGTATATAGGGATTTATGATCTGATTTAAGCTTTGGGCGCCTGTTTTCTGTAGGGACTTTATTGGGGCACAACATGTACACTATACTTATCCCTAAGGCTCCATGTACCTATATATATATATATACATATATATATATATATATATAGGGACCCCTTTAAATAAGTATATATATATATATATATATAAGATAAAGGTACATGGAGCCTTTGGGAAGGGCCCTGGAGCTGGTCTTGATAATGATTTGGACTGCTAAGAGACTCCAATATCCCTTTAGTTAAGGAAATTTAATACTTTTTAGATAGTAGGACCCCTAATAGGATTTATATAAGGAATCATTAATTTAAGGGATGTTGGAGTCTCTGGGCTCGGCCTTGTGAGGGTTATTCGGCTTCGGGGGTTTCGGCGCTCACACTCCGACAATCCAGGCTTTGGGGGTTTAAGGGCTTAGAGTTCAGGGTTCCTATATATAGTGCTGCTACTCTACTACTATACGACTACTACTACTGGTACTACTTCGACTGCTACTTGTTCTACAATACTCCTACTCCTACTCTTACTCCTACTCCTACTACTACGACTACTACTACTACTACTACTACTACTACTACTACTACTACTACTACTACTACTAAAGGACTGCTACTTTCGGTGCTACTCCTACGATAAATACAACGAAAGCTTCGCACGAGTCACCTGTTTTCGCTGTCCAAACAGTGCATGGGTCAGACTGGACGAACTTGGTTACAAACTTGTGCCGGCCTTGCATGTATACATCAGATTTACCATTCGACGAATTGAAGAATTCGCCTGTGCCAGCCACATTTAGATGTACAGATCTCTAGCCATGTCCACCTTGAGTTTCCACCACGGTGTTGTCAGCGCTTCGTACATAGAATTGATCTTGGACTTCCACACGAAAGTTTCTCTTTCACGAACGCTTTTCGCGCACTCCACTGGTAACCGAGGAGTCAC